ATTGATGTCAATTGGTATGGTATTTGCCTCCCATCAAAGTGCAAGACGCTGTTGCAAGATTGGCACGAGTCTGTGGCTGCCCCTTTGTTAAGGAATGACATCTTAGAAGTGGTTGAGAGCTTTATCTATATCGGGATTTGTATAACAGCTGGCGGAGTTGTGGGCGAAGAACTCTTTCAACGCGCCACTAAAGCAAGATTGGTGTTTGCTAATCTGCGGCATCTCTGGTGCTTGTGTGACACCCCTTCCACAGAGGGGTGTGTGTATAAGCAAGACGGTACACAATGCGTTAATCTACTGCTGCGAAACTTGGCCTCTCCAGCTGCCTGTTTTCGACAATCGTTGTCCGCGTAGCATCACCCGCGTATAATGGGAGTATGGATTGAGTAACGGTGAGATCAGACGACGTGTATTCCGTTTAACAAAACCATTTCGCTCCACCATCTTAGGCAGTTCCAACACGTCCCACGAAAACCTGGGCAACGTCTGTATTATTTGCAGATACTGGGCCTGACTGGAAGAAAAAAAAATCGAGGTGGGCAAGCTGTAGGGTTACGTAAAGGGTTGGAGAAACTGTGTGGATTGTAGGCTTTGGTCCCGATGATTTAGATCTTTTTTGACCGAAGACACTGCGGGACATGTCATCGAATCAAACTCAGTGGTGTAAATACATTTTTACATGCTTGCACAATTAAGATGAACTAGATCCTCATTAGAAGCAGATACTAGGGTACACAACTTTGGCCATTGCCTAAAGCGTCGCTCGTCTGAATGGTGCGTTCTAAAAGATTTTCAGTATCAAATGTGCAAACAGTGCGGCGGCATCCACTAAAATCTTCGTTGGGGATGGAGACGATTTCAGCAGGTTTCCAGTTTTGGTGAATCATTACGATAGAAATGCATACGGTAAAAATCACTTATGGGCTCAGAAAGTTCTTCAGCAGCTCGGATGCAATAAGATCATCAGCATAAGTTCTAGGATTTGAGGCTCTTTGAAACTGTGGGAACCTCGTTTAAGCTGATGGGATGCCCATCATAAGATGGGTAGAGGAGAGAAAAACTATTTGAATGATCTAGAACTTCAGCGTCCGGATGGTTGTTTGTCCGTGCACCAAGAAGTTGTTTTAAGGCCAACCACATTTCCCGATAAGTGTTAACAAGATATCTTTAATGCACAGCTGATTGCCTAGTAGAATCTCATTGATAAGAAGAGATAGAGGTTTCATTAACTCACGTTTTCCAATCGTTTTAGCTCGTTCTTTCTAGTGATGATGACATTTTTTGGATATAGGGCGAAAAACCGATCACCACAAACAATCATAACTAAGTCCGAAAGATACTCATCCGACAAACATATTCCGCATCCCTCTAAGACCATCCTATGTGCTAAACAAATCACGGTACGATAACAATTATGAGGAAGAAATTGGTCTATAATTGGCACGTTGGCGGAATATTCCCAGATCGCCTATACCAAAGCAAGTAAATTTCCTTGGAGCGGCGGTGGGGGGGAGGGGGTCTCTAACTTTGCCTAGTCAAAGTCCGCCCCTCAAAGCAACGGTGGCCTGTGGAAATCGCATTCTATCGCCACTGGTGTCCAGTTAAGCGACGTATACACCATTTGGATAGCGTCGAAAATTCAAGCTATCTCGATATTCAATCAAGCCGAGGCCCATTGCCGCGATCACGAAGGTTCTCTGTGTGGTGGGGAAACACCTCTGCCACGGGTAAGGCAGTGGAGCTTCCTCAACATGCACACTATTCTTTCTAACAGCCACGAGCTTTTTTCAATTAAACGTGGAGATTGGGGTTTATCAGCAAGGAAATTTCCATTATGCCTAGCATTGTGTACATACACATTGAAAACCGTGGCACTAAGAAATCGCATTGATCCCAGAGGATTTTGCTCGATCTGATGTGACACGTGGCGGCGAAACGTGAATAATAGATTTCACTGTGTTTTGTGAAAAGGATCCGAGAAAAGTGAAAGCACGGCGCATGTTCAAAGGCCACACCACAAGCCTTATGTTGTCGCGCATCCCACCTGTTGTTACCGTCCGATGCGCGCGCGTGTGTGTGCCCATTATCTATTGTGCTGGGCGACCGGTTGTGTCTCATGCCGAATACATTAGTACAATATCCTGTTCGGTAGTTTAAATTGAANCATTCAAGCTGTGAACCTTGTAGCCAAGTGTTTCGATTTCCGACCCGGCGGGGACAGATAAAAAAGCATACACACTTTGCTGACGAGTCTCACAACCGGATGAAACAGCTGTCCAGTGCTGTTTGTCGGTTATCACGCAGGTTTCTGTTGCATACATTTGTACTCTCTCTCTCTCTGTGATTTTTACCCCCTTCTGTTCGTCACTCAGCGTTGTCTAATAAAAGTTATCTCACATCACCTTGATCATCACCCTAACCATTTGTGGTCGTGATCCTTGTGATACACTATTCATTCTTTTCTATTCCGATTCATTTTGCCCAGATTTTGTTTACTTCGAAGTATCTGCGGCAGCCCCATATCAGATCAGAAAAATTGAGGAACTGAACAAGGTAAGCTGGCCAATCCATGTGACAAGCCGCGCACTCGTGCTGTCCAATCACAGACCTCTACCGGTGCAGTGGAAGCCAAAGTGGTTTGTTTCTATCGGCGTCGTGATCTGTCACTAAATCTAATTCAACTTGCCGATAAGCATCAAAGTAAGCATGCCATTCCATCTCATCCTGTTCCTGTGGTCTATTTAGATGAACTATCACATCCGTCGGACGGAACGAAACCGGAACTACTGCACCAGGTAACTCTCGTGTACTATAAAAGATTCATGCTTTGACCCTTCCCCCGCCCCCTCCCCATCGCTCACATTTCCTCGGCTAGCTTCGACATCGTGAAATATTCCTATCGCGTCATTTAGAGACACTCCCGGCCACTCATATTCGCGGCAAATGTACAGTCACGCTGCACAGCGATACGGAACCGTGTGATGTGTATCTGGCCAAAGAGGATGCTTTCTTTTTCCAACTGGTCTACGATCCACTCCAGAAAACACTCCAGGCCGATCGCGGTCAAATTCGCGAAGGTCCCGACTATCAGGCTGACGTGCCGCCGTACACACCACCGGATTCCGCAGGTAAGGTATTTTCTTTCTCTATGCTTATCTACCCTACTCAGACCAACAATCACACATCCCGTGGATCGTATCAACTCACTAAGTTTAGAACACGTGACAACCTCCTCCTCCCGCCCAACCCTGGGCACGTGTTGTCGCGTCTTTTTTTTCTGGCTCTCAATTAATCATGTTCAGCGATAATGTATAGTCACGTGTGCTGTGTTGTTGAAGGGGGGAGGGGGGACTAGGAAGCACGGCGACAGCAATAGCAGAAAAATGCCACGTTGATTGAGCCAGTAATGTGATCAGTGAAGGCCATTTCCGTCTACTTCATCACGATGGCATGTATTGTACAAACGTGTAACCATTTGACTTAAGATGC